GTTATAACTTGTAATTCTAGGATTATGCAGTTGCAGTGTTATTCTTTGAACATATTATTACTATTATTACTACTACTACTACTACTCCTACTACCTCTACTACTATTATTATTATTATTAAAGGCATGGCTGGAAAGAACTCCAGGACTTGATGCAGAAGAATTTGATTTCTGGGGACAATTTGAAGAGAATGTTTTAAAAGGCCTAGAAGAGGAATTTGCCTTGATACAGGTACATAATGTACTCTTGAACTACCTATAAGGAAAGACATCTGGCAAAATGATATTCTGACATAAATTTAACTTTTAGCTTACTCAAAGTTTCTCACTCCACTTAATCTTCATCAGCCATTGTCTGCAGGAAGCAGAAAAAATTCAAATTCTTCAGGAAACAGGAATATTTTTAAAATTTGACATCTAAGACAATTTAAAGCATGAGATACATGGATGATTTAGATTGCAAAAGGGATAGATTAGTATCAATGGAAGGGCTGAAGTTGATTTTACTGAAACTATAATTTCACCTTTGGTTAGTACTTGCATCTACAATCTAGAAAAAAGATGTAGTTTCAGCCTCTGAGCTGTGGATATGGAATGTCACTATTAACAGCCCATTTCTGTTTAACAGTATATGGCAATTTGCTGCTATGTGATCATTTGAATTGCACTGGCAAATAAGCACCAGAAAATCCCTGACTATTTTAAGACCTGCAGCTTTAAGTAACATTTTTTATTTTTTAAAATTTTTAATGAAAAAGAATAAGAATTTGTCAGCTTCCTGAGAATATCTGTTTATGACTTTCTAACTTATCTAAACTTTTTAATTCACGTATTTCTTGCCCACAACTCTGCAAGGATGTAATTTTTTTGCCTTGAAAACAAATAAATCATAATTCAAACAAATTTTTAAGGTCTCTGGACCAAAAAAACTTGGTAAATTGCCAGTTTGTTTGAACATTCATTTATCAGAGTTGTGTTGGAATCTATTTAATTGTACATTTCTTGGTAATTTTACTTTTCAAAGGACAGTGAGTCATGTATCTTATTTGAAAATACAGTTCTAACATCTAAGATGCAAACTTCAGAGCATTTATTTAAATAAAAGTTGCATAATGAGTCATTCAAGTGCTTAATTTTCCTTGTTGAATTCTAAAACTTGTCTTTGTTTTAAATACTAAAGGCGAAAGCAGAATCAGAAGAAAAAGATGACTTATTGTCTGAATTTCAAAAACAGAGAGACGTATTACTTTCATTATTTGATGAAAAACGCCATGAACATCTGCTCAGTAAAGGTATATTTTATTACCATATGTCAATATGCACTTTGTATGTTTTACACTTTACTTATAAATGTTTGTTATAGCATTAAAATTGCAGGAGGATGGGCTACAAACTACGGATACTTGTATTTTGCAGGAGAGAGACGACTGTCCTACAAAGCACTGAAGGGGGCCTTGATGATCTACTTCTACAGGTAATGTTGTAAGGTGTGTCTTTGATGGTGACTGGCAGGAGGAGAGGCGAAGGTTAAGAACAATAGCACGGGTTCAGTTAGGCTGGAGTGGACTGTGGCAATCTATTTCAGCCCTCCACAGGAACCCTGATTAGTCAGATACACCTCAAAAGTCACACCAGGCTGCTTAGCATCATGTCCAGCTGAGTTCTGAATATCTTCAAGGTTCCCCTCTGGGCAGCAGCTCCTTGCTTGACCAGATGCTGCCTTTCAGACTGTAACTAGCAGATGTCTTGCTCTACCTGTCCTACAAAGATCTGGAGTCCTTTTCCAAGTTCAAAAATAAAGGGGCAGATCAAGACTTACACAGCAGAAGCATTTTTTAAAGTATCTACTGATATTTCAGTATCAATTTAGGAGAAGTATACTTTAAGTCACTAAGCACTGTTGAAATGCAACTTTGAAAAATACAGCTTATGCTGAGAGGTCTCACTGACTTTTTCATTTTCCAAGGGAGGAGCCTCGTTTCCAGGTTCCATTTCAGCTTCTTACCTCTCTTATGGATCTCGATGTGCTCATGACTAAATGGAGATGTAAGTTTGACTTTTTTGACTGTGACAATCCCTCTTCTAGATGCAAATAAATTGTTCTCTGAGTCTTAGAACTGAGCTTTGGAGTTTATGCTTTAGGAATTACTCTTCTTGTTTCTACTTCAGCCAAGAGGAAAGATAAAGAGCTGCTTCTGTGATCATTAGATAGGTGTAGCTACCACTTCTATGACCTGCTTTAAGTATACGATCTTCTTTAAGGAACAGGCATCTATTTTTCAATGTATCCCAAAAAGTCATAACGACATGTCTTTATATGCAGACATTCCTTCTGCCGCCTTCCCTATCTAGACATACATAAGTGAATGTATAATTCTGTGTTAATAGAGCACAGTAATGTGTAATAATTAGTGTGTTTATTCTGAATGAACAGTAATTTTATATTAATTGACTGAAGAATAACAGAATTAACTCCTGCATTGCTGAAGACCTAATAGTTCTGTATCCCTGTAAAGATCTCTGAATGACCTTTAGTAAGTGTGGGTCTTTAATTATATCTAAATACTGAACATGTGCCATTTTCTTCTGTTGTATCATTTAGATAACCATGTCTGTTTGGTGCACAGAATGATTGGCAGCAAGGCTGGAACTGGAGGCTCATCAGGCTACCACTACTTGCGCTCAACAGTGAGGTAGAAATAACCTGTTTCCCCTGTTACCTGCAATAATGAAGTTCATAAATACTCTAATGCTGGGAAACATATTTCAGATGGCTCACTGGAGGCCAAAGGGCTGCTGACACTCTTCTGGGACTCTAGGATCTCCCCTGGTTGTTGTACATTTATTTATCAGTGATATATAAATTCCAAGCCTTCTAGGACAAAAATAACTCCTTTTGCTCACTCTTGCAAAGTGCCATCTATAATTCTCAGTCGAGGGCTACAGGCGTCACAGTGATAGCAATAGTATTAACCCTGCATTGCTCAGTTTATGTGCCAGCTAGCCCAAGTTAAGGAGATAACACATGCTGGAAGCGAGCCCCAGCTACTGTGTAACTGAGTTTCTTTAGTCCATAGCATGACCTCTAATTGCACAACCTCCTTCAAAGAGGACCTTGGAGGTTTATTCTCAAAGAGCTGTGAACCACCATGTAGTGCTGTGGGCAGCTACTATCACAACCAATGGGACAGAGGGCAAAGTAGAAAGCAGATGGTCAGACTGATGATGATTGAATGTCCACTGTCTTTTTTTAGAAAGCTCTCCCACTCCTCCTTAATGTCAGGTTAACATTATTGCTCCTAGACAAATTCTGCTAGAGAACACACCCAGTAGATTCAGCATTTTCATAAAAAAGATGTTACTATAGATCCCCATTAAGCCTAATCTGCTATGCCCTAGAAGGGTAGGACTGGATTCTTACTCTGCAATGTTCAGGAGGGTTAGTGGAAGGAATCTTATTATTTGCATGAAAAGGAATGATTACTGAGGATTTAGAAATTATGACCTTCTATGCTGATGTTCCAACTGTCTTTTTCAGTGACAGATACAAGGTGTTTGTGGATTTGTTCAATCTTTCAACATTTTTAGTGCCAAGACACTGGATACCAAAGATGAATCCAAGCATTCATAAATTCCTTTACACAGCAGAATACTGTGACAGCTCCTACTTCAGCAGTGATGACTCTGACTAGCCTGCCTTTCTAGGCTGGTTGCTGTAAAGAACTTCCTGACTTTCACCTTGAGTGATGCCCCTAAGCCATTCCCACAAAGACTGTGGGTGTGTAAATATGTATTTATGTATGACAGCTTTGTGAATAGTACAACTGGCTTGTGAAAGAAATTAACTGATTGTAGAAAAATAAATCTGTATTGAGTTAGCCTATGTTAAGAGTAAAATGATACTCCAATTCAACCCAATGACCAATTTAACTCTTAGCTGGCTTCTTAAAGCTTACAGCTAGAGAAAGCGGGGAAATTATATGCAGTTGTTATGATCATGACTTATTTGTACATATTTTTGTATTTGCTTGTTTGCCTAATGGCTGTTACTAATTTATGTCTAGTTGAGGACATAATCAGTCTTACCACCTTCAGAAGAGTATTAGTTTATGAGCTCTAGTGCAATTTAAAAAGGAATTTTGGGTTAAAAGTTTCAAAAGATTCAAAAAAGTAAGTCCTGAATCTATAGAAACCAAACCATCCTGAACTTACAATACATCAAGAACCATGTTGCTATCTCTTTACATGTGAATGTAAATCTCTTACATAGAAATACTGTTAAAATTAGCAGATATAAGTACTTACTTTGCATTTCAAATAAAGCAGTATTAAAGCTCATCTTTTGTTAAGTCTTCTTCTAAAGCAAACTATAAAATCCAACCAAGACTACGACAGGCATTTAAAGTGATTTTTATTCAAACTGGTATACAATAAAAAGGCAACTTTGGCTATAGAATATCAATAAATTAGTGTCATCTTCTCATTAAATGGACTTTTGTCTTTTTAAGTGCTTCTTTTGGAAAGACACAAACACTCTAGGCTGGAGTTTCTGGTAAGTTCTCTCTACCACAGCACTTCAATTACTTATACCTGGCCCTAGCACCTCAAAACCACTGGAGGCATGTCTATGTTTCATATTGCTATGACTGCATTACTCTTATTCATGCCCATTAGGGACTTTGTTTTTCAGTTATGGAAGTGTTCTATCTGTTGTTTGTAAGCCACTCAGGGAAAGCCAGACTACACAAAACCCAGAGTACAGAAGATTTCAAATTTTTTAAAACTGAAGTCTTCAGCCAAGTAAATTTACTAAGTGCAAAGCCTGAAGTAGAGAAACATCACACTTGGTCTCCCCTTTCATTTAAAATATTAACAATTAGAAGGATTAAAACAGCAACACTTAACAATAGACAATTATAAATACTCATTGCATTTGTCATAAAAAAGTTATAAAAAACTAATCTAAAAACATGTTACAGTTATTGAGTGCAAAAATTACAGAATGGCTTCAACTCTTTTCATAGCAGGTCTTCTTAAAAGACACAGGTAAAGCATTCCAGGTGAAAAATTCAGAGCACTTTAGAATTACATGTTTCATTGTGAGTTCTAGTTAAATTTTCCCACAGTTGCAGTTTCACAGCTCAGCAAAGCTGGAACACCTTTTTATTACCAGCAAGTCCCACCTCTGAATTCAATTAATGAGGGAAATTTAACACTCACTCTATTGGATATATTCTGTAATTGCTGACTTTCTAAACTGTTACTCATGATTCTTCTCATATTCAAATTATTTCAAATATACTCTTATACTATTGATTTTTTGATCCAAATTCCTTCTTATTTGTCATCCTTTCTTTCAAGATTTTTCTATGGAGTAGTATTCAACACCTGAATAAAGCTTTCATTTGAGACTTCATCCATCTTTGTAACTACTATTTGTACACTCTGCAGTTGAGTCTTCTTACTCTATGAGAAATTTGGCATTCAACACAAATTCCAAATTAAAAAAAAATTAAAAACTTCAGCCACGAGTCGCAGGAATTGCCTTTACAGCCATTTCTTATATTCGAAAACGGTGTTTTGAATTACATCTTCATATACAGTGTCTGTCCTCATCATACTTGTGGTCTTTGACCAGTTGTAGATGCCCAGAGAAATGTCAAACAAATACTGCTGAAACTGTTTCTGCTATACCTAGAAATGATGCAAAATTTGGTTTTAATAAATACTGAAGTGGAGACTTCCCAGAATTCATATTCATATAATGCCCTCTCCCCTCCACACCATGACAGTAGGAATCATCTGCAATCCTTTTATTTCTTCCTTGCCTGGCACTGTGTATAGTTGAAACCTAATCTCCTCCTTCCTCTGCTTTTATGTTCAAAATTTTATATCCTGGTCTCAAAGCACGTCTAAATCAGAAGACAACATCTCTGTGGGAAAAGGAGAAAAGGAGCAACTACTGTCCTTTGCTGTTCTTGTGTGGTACATTATAGAAAATGAGAAAGAGCCTGCCTTTTGAAAGAATGGGTTTTGAAAATAGCACATCTGTTCTCCCTGCCATCTCTATAATTAACTTGTTTTATGACTACTTCCAAATTTCTCTTTATAAACTGTTTACACAGTAACAGTAAGAACAAAGATTCAGTAATGTGAGAAAGCTCTGATTGGATACAGTGCTCTGATCTTTACTAAGTGCAGGCAAACCAAATATTGTCTATTCTTTATGTACAAAGACTTTGGTAATCTAACACCTCTTGCAAAGACTGAGAGCTATTGTGAAACACATGGAAGGGAAAGCCAATGTGTTACTCTAACACATAAAATTACAACAGATACACCACACTTCCTATCTAGTGGAAATACCCCACCAATTTGTCTCAGCAATCTGATGATAAACCAGAGCTTGACTTGCCTTACCTCCATATCTAACAGAAACTGGGTATTTAATGCTACAGAAATCCCTCAAACACAAAGAAGAAAATCACACAAACCACAGGGCGAGAGATCAAACTAGCACTAAAAAGATATATTTCTGCCCTCCAAGAAAAGCCACAAGCAGGGTACACAATTCCCAGGTAGATTCGCTTTTCATATTTGCTTGCTAAACTGAGCCCAGAGATAGTGGCACCCACCAGACAAGGACAGCAGCTGTTTTACCTACAGGGAGCAGAGCAATGGCACCCACCTAGAACCATCACACATGACTGAACATTTCACAATGCCTGTATGGTAAGGGACAACAGGACTTTCATTATTTGTTTTGTCTTATAAAGCTTTGATTTACATGGTGCTTTTCAATCATTCAACTACATGGCTTGGTTGAACTAGCAAGCACTTTATTTATTTTTCCATCTGGACTCATTTAACCACTTTTAAAGCATAGCAAGGATTTCTACTGCGTCTCTGAGGATGCCATTATACCTTTATTATACTATTATATAATACTATGATTATATTCATTTGTTATAGCCATTGAGAAATATATCCCAGCCCATGGCCTTCACCACTTACTTTTTGTCAGACTTACCACAGACATTGCTGCCTATCTTAACACGAACATAGCCATCTATTCCCCATGTTGGCCCCCAAGAGTTCTGTACAATCCAGTAAGGAATGCGACCTGGAAGAGACATTTCATGAACAAGAGACATGAACATGAGATTTGGGAAGCTTTAGCCTCCTAACACTCCACAGAGTTAATTAGCATTTCAGTATCTCACAGTTTCTGATGGATTGATGATACACGCCAGTGAAAGCTGCTGTTGTTCAGACAGATAACAGAGCTAATATTCTGGTATGGGAAGACTGGGTATGGGCTCTTCTAGCATAAAGATGCACAAAGCCATGGTCCTGACATTATAAGGATGAAGTCCCACAGAACTGAAGAAGCAATGACAAAAAGAGGTTTTTTTCTGGCTGATGTGAAGATGATGTGATTTTCACAGAACTTCCAGAACTAATGTGACATCAAGCCCAACAGCTTCCAACAGAAAATTAAGTTTTGGATTTTAACCACTTGTCCCACAAAAGGCAAGCTGCAAGTAAAAGAAACCTACTGTGCTGAAGTTCAGCTGGTGGAAACTCACCTGTTCTGTCAAAACCAGTGATAAGAACAGCATGGTTTGCTCTTCCACTGGAGCAGTGATATTGTATGATTCCACCAAGATAATCCTGCCAGCTAACAGCATCGACTGTCACTGCTAAAGGGCCCCAGCTGACAAGCATCCTCATCATTTCCTCTTCTTGACCACTGCAAAAGAAATGTGTAAAAATACCAAGTCACCTAAATTAGCCACGAAAGTGATTAGAGTGATCGTAATCTACTTGTTAAGAACAGTTTAAAATCAAATAATTAAAATCTTTCCTCCAAGTTCTACATCACACAACACACATCAGTAATATCTATTTCATATACCATAAAACAGTGATACAAATACAGGATACACAAACTATGGAACAGGTGTAGATCCAAACACATAATATTATTAAAAAGCAGCAGGTTTCTAAGTCAAGCCAGTGGGCAATGGAGAGCTCTACATACTTTTTGTACATCACTCTTCTCAATTAAAACCAGCTTTAAACAAACCATTAGTCTGTATTAGAATTTCCCACTGTTTTTTAAACCTACAGAAATATCTCTTAACATAATAATATACTAAAGTATGTGTCTCAAATATATCCAAACACAGAATATTTCTGTTACTAGATATTTATCTTTAGCACCTTCATACAGTTTTATTTATCTAATATACTGAAACAGGAAATTTTCATCACTGCATGATATGTTCATTAACTAAATTTGGCAAATACAAACTGGCAAAGATATGATTGATTTTAGTTATTTATATCTAGAAGTAATACAATTCCTAGTATCAGAATAACACATCTTGTCTTTATTCAGTAGTTCTACTGTACTGATAAAAATTAGAAATTAAGTTTCTTCACACAGAAACCTAAAATGCTGAAATTCTTACAGAGTTCAGTTGACAACACTTTCTAAAGTCATGGGCTGGAGAGGATGTGGGTAGATATGCAAATGCATGAATATTGAAGTAATTTAATGGTTCATAATTTTTTCAGTAAATTCCAGTTACTATTGGTAGGACTTACTGTTTCTGACAAAAGCAATGCAATGTTCATATATTAAAAAACTGTAACTGACTCCATGTAACAGTTTCTAGCCAATTTAAAAGATTTGATTTTAAGCTTTCTCATTTGAACAGGCTTAATGATGGCATTGTTGAGTGGATTCATTGTGGCCGGCCTTAACTCTCACAGATATTATACATTAATCCTTCTCCATCACACAGCTACAGAACTGATACAATCAACCTCACAACCTTTGCCTAGTCAATGCACTTTTCACTCCATCTTACTCCATGATTGATGAAAGAAAAGTAGAGCAAAAGAATAGAATGAATAATAGCTACCTGAAGTCATATGCAGCAAATCCTGTTATTGAAACTCCAAAATATGAGCTCTCAAAATAATGGCACAGTCCTGTCTGAGCTTTAAAAGTGTATTCTGAATCTCTCACGAGTTTTACTTTTGTCTGCAAGAAGGTAATTGAGTAAGAATTTAATGCATTTGACTTTACTACTATGCCGCTCAAAAGTTACAATGACTATATAACCCACTCAAAATAAAGTGTGCACTGGGCAAGATTAGAAGGAAGAATGTCACATTGTGAAATAAATATTTACTGTCTCTAGTTTCCTTGTTCACTGAGCTTTGGAAGGGATTCAGAAATCTTTAAATAAGAAACTAAATTTAAAAGGCATCTCTGGTTTAAACTATCCTCATAAGCAATCCTGTCAATTTTAAGACACAGATATTAATTCACTTCATTCATGAACTATTCATTCTCTTCAAATGACTTCCACACACAAAATTAGAGTTACCTTGGGAGAGTTTAAGAAACACAAATATCCCAAAAGGTTATATAAAATAAAGTCCAATTCTGTTCTTAGCATGTAATTCTCATGCTCGTACATGACGTATGCATCAGCCTTTTATACTTCTCATGTCTTCTGCAGTACAGTATGTTTATGACAGTGACTTCTTCAGCCTAATTCATTTGGGGTTCCTCTGCTGCCAAGTAAGAGGGAATTTTGCTTCAGAGGAATAAAAGTAAGTATCCTCTGTTGTTCCTGATATTCAAACTTAAGTTACCTAGACTGTTATTAGCTATGGATATATTACTCCTCAGGGATAGAATTACACTTTCTTAAATTCTGTTTTGTTTTTAATTAAAAAAACTAAAGAATTCTTTTTATATTTTTGTAATTCAATTTGAGTGAGTACTTTTTATTTCAAGGATACTAAAATATTTCTGTTTACCTATGTTATTGACACACATTTTGAATTTTTAACAAAATTAAATGTGTTAGCAACAACCAAAGTAGAAACTTTGAATGCATTTTCAATGTTCTGGCCCGCAAGGGAAACAAAGGTAAACATAGTTCATTTTATTCTGAGGTTTTCCACATACACTTGTACATAATTTTACAGTGTATGCAACAGAAATTCCTGAAATTTGAAAAAAGTCAAGATCCTTCCTTTTCCCCAGATGCTGGTACTTTAAATCCACAAATGCCATATGCATAGGTGGCTCTGTCTACCCTGGTACTGCATGCCTGCAAATGGATTCAGGAACATAATTTTCAGCCCCTGTGGACTGATTTGTTACATTCACAAGAACATGTATGGACCATAAAGTTCCAATTAGATTTCAATTCTCCTTGAACTAATTCTCTCTTGGTTCCAAACTAAATAAATAACCATACATACATATACACAAACACATACGTGTATGCATATACACACACACACACACGTTTTAAAAAATCACCCTGTACATTGCACCTTCCCCATCAGTTTTTTCCAACAAATAAGAACGCTAATAGAGAAGCTGATGAAGTATTTTGGGATTTTTATAGTATTTCAAACCTGGTTCAGCCAGCTCAAAGCGCTAACAGTGGATCCTCCGCTGCAGCCATAGTTATTGTATGAGCAGTCAAGAACTTGCTGCACACTGAGCTCTTCCAGGGTGTTTCTTTTAATTGCATAGGCAGACTCTATGCCACCTACAATGCTGAAAGCCCAGCAGCCTCCACACTGATAGAAAGAAAAGGGAAATGGCAGAGAAAGCAAAAGTCAGCTTTGTTTTTGAAGCCTGATATGAAAAAAGAGGCAAGAGTCTTCCAATGATCTTCACTCAATACATCATCCTTGAACTTTGTTTTTAAGGCAATAATAAAGAAATGCAATAATCCATTTAAAATGCTGAACTGTTTTTCCCCCTATATTGCTCTCCGAATGCTAGAAATGCATTATGGGTGTCTTATTTTAAGGACTCCTTCCTGGTGAATTTTTGTTCTTGACGATAGTTCTGAGGATGCTTTTTACTGTGAGATATTTATTTTCCAAAAAAGAAACGTGGTCTCAGGATGAAATAAATTTTTAACCACATTAGTAAATTTTTCTAGAATTCTGTAGAAACAGATGACAGTTTAAGAAATGGTAAAGTGAAATTAAACATAATAGAAAAAATCTTAGACAATAACAATCTATACTGCAATTCTAGGCTTCTTGAACTGTGATATTTAAAATAAGCAGCAGAATTCACAAGTTCCTTTGTGAAGCATGGAAAGGAGACACACGCTGGATTGTTTCTTACCAGTGACCATAACCTCTTTGGGATAAACTGTAATTGTGTGGGGTCTGGTTACTTTCCTATCACGAATACATCCCCTGAGTAATTCACTGGAAAAGATGTGGATGTTGACCAGACAAGGGGATTCAGTCAGGGGATAAAAACAACAGGAATGGATCTACACCTCTCCAGCTGGGATAAGATCAAATACTGAACTTACCTTGGTTCCTTCAGAAAAATACAAAATGCACATAGTGCAAAATATTTGGAGATTCAATTAACGAGATCAAAAAATGTATTACAGCTTCTAAATGCACAACTACACCTCATACTTGTATGTCTAACATCACTTTGCATAAAATGCTACATGACTTCGTGTATGTTCAACTGGCAACCCTTGGGCCAGTGCTCCAAAGAGCCTTCAGACAGAGCTGGTCCTTGCAAAACCTTCCCTGTGCTCTGCAGCCAACCTTCTGAGAACTAGGAATACAAAACACCAGGACTTACTGTCTGCTGATTTCTCACTTCTGCAATGACTTTCTTGTCCCTCCAGTCAAACTTCTTTGGCAGAGGCCTTTCCTTCCCCTTTGGTACTTTTACGTATCTGGGAAGTTTGTGAGGTATGCTTCTCAAGTAAATAGCTAAACACATAACACAAAACATCTATAAATCTACGAACAAAAAAAATCCCATTAACAACTACTTTACTAGACTTCAGAAATAACTTTGACCTACAGTTACAACTGTGAGGTTGTATCTCATTCTAAAATCCATAGAAAATTCATGTGTTTTAAAGTAATCATTATTGTCCAGAATGAATATATCTACAATTTCAAAAATAACAGAAATACTCTTTGTAGGGCACATGAGTAGTAAGTGTGAAGATTTTCTGAAGTTGAACAATAACCACAGATACTACAAAAAACAAATTTTACTTGAAAATTTCCAAAACATTTTATTGACTTTAAAAAAAATTTGTTTTATCCATGTGCAAGGGAAAAATAAGAGGAGAATAAAGATTCTGAAACACCTCCAAGTTGCTGGGTTTTCACTAAGATATGTTGTTTAATTATTCAAAATTAAAACAAGATGTTAAATCCTCTGATGAATAGAATACGTAACAACAGACATGAACAGCAAGAATGGAAGGTATCAGACAAATTTTCTAGGAAAAAAACATTAAGCATGTCATTGCTTGAGAAAGCTCCAGCTGTCATTAAGCAGCCATGGACCTCCAAGCATTGTTTGGACTGTTGTCAACTTTGTGTTGGGGTAGGGAATATAAATTTACTGGAGAACCTTGTGTATGTTCCTTTTCCAAAAAGGAAGAACCTTGTGTATCTTCCTTTCTTCTGTTGCAACCGAAGAAAGCTTTAAAGCGCAGTGAGAAGAAACAAGGAAAACCAGAATTGCCTGAATACTAAAACATATTCTGGCTGTGGGCAATTCAATCTTGCAAGACTACGGAATGGGAAGAGGATTGTTGTACCCTCCAGAAGTACTTACAGTTTTGTACCAGCCATTGTAAATTAGCTGACTATCAGCACAGGAAGAATCTGTAAATGTGAAAGACACAAGGTTCTGGGAAAGAATTAAAAAAATAACAGAAAAGGCATTAGAAGAAACCAGAAAATGTACCTTTGAACGCTTCAGGAAACAGGTGAGAAAACTGATTTATTCCATAGACAGCAGTCATATTATCTTTTGATAATGAATTCAATAATCTAATTCTTTTAACGCTTTCCTGAAGGAATAAAAAAAATGAACGTAGGCATTATTAAGTTAGCAGCAGGGACAAAACAGTAGGAGCAGAAGAAAAGGCTAGCAACAGTAAACATGAAATTAGGTAACGAGCTGTTCATCTCAAATTCGTCCTGTATCCCTAGCAACAAGAAAGCCATTACACTAATTTCAACTCCAACAGATACCAAAAAAGCATTTGTTAAGTGCAAAAAACGTACTTGAAACAGACAAAACAGGCACGCTGAGAACAAACTGTGTCAAACTCATCTGACGTCCTTTGACAGCACAACAAACCTTGTGGCTGAGAGACATGCAAAAACGTCTTCAGATACGAGTTAACCCCATCACTTCATGTCTTTATAAAGCGAAAGAACAGTGTAATAACCTAGAGGCCTCCCCGCCTCCTCCCGGCGGCCCATGCCACTGGGCAGCCGCTCCGGTCGGCGGTGACCCGCGGGGCCCAGGGCAGCGGCAGCGGCAGCGGCAGCGGCAGCGGCAGCGGCACCGGGCGGGCGGGCGGGCGGGCGCGTCCCGGCACTGCGGGAGGAGCGTGCCTGCCCGCGCCTCCCGGCCTCCATCGCCCGGCCCGCTGAGCCTGCACCAGCCCCGCAGTGCGGATGGCGAGGGATGCGCGGGCTGGGCCACCTACCCGCAGAGCCGCCGCCGCCGCTTCCTCTTGTTCCCGGCCGCCGCCGCCCTCCTCCCGCGGCCGGGTGCCTGCAGGCGCCGGGAGGGCGGCACTGCCCGGTCGCAGCAGGCAGAGGAGCAGCGCCAGCCCCGCCATCGGCCACCATGTCATGGCGGGGTGGGCCCGGGCACGCACCCCCCCCCGCGGAGCTGAGGTCTGTCGGGTTCCGAGCGGGTAAAGGGCCGAGCCCTCCTTCCTTCCCGGCCCGTGGCTGGAGGCTGCGCCCGCTACCGCTTCCCGCGGGGCCTGCGCCCGGCAGGGCGGGGCGTCAAGGAGCGGCCGCCCGGCACCGCCACTCCAGCTCCTCCTGGGGGCTGTTGCCGAGTGCGAGCTATGTTTGAGCGTGCTCATCGGTGCCTGGACAAGGCCTTGTTTCCAGGGGTGCTTTTCCGTATGGGAGACTCGCGCCAGGCGCGCAGGGTTGCAGAGGAGGGGCGAAAGGGTGCTGAGTTTTTTTTCAGGTATCTGCCAGGTTATAAATTTGTGCAAGCCCTTCTCCGAGAGGAAGTTAGTTCGTACCCGCAAGCTGGGCTGCCAGTAGGAGAGGGAAGCAGCAGGAACGCAGGTTAGAGGCTTTAGCAAGGGAAGGCATGGGTGGGGAGAGCAGAGCTGCCCGATGCTGCACAGCCGGTGTCCCGCAGCCTATGCGTCCCAGCTAGAGTTTGTGCTGAAATAACACACGGGAGAAACCATGACTTTCCTCAGAAACTGGTCGTGCTGGTACTTGAGTAAGCAAGTAAGTGTTCAGCGCTTGAAAGGTCCATTAGGCCACTACGAGTTAACGGAGCCCTCTTTAGTTAATTTCCACCACTAGGCAGTTTTACGCAGTGCCTGTAAATAGGATATTTGTATGTTTTAAACCTGCTGTATGCTCCAGTTCTCTCTGCTGCTTTTCCCCCACGCGCCCTCTTGTTAACACAGGTGCTCTGTCCTGCGGTGCCAGTAGCACACCTGGCAGCACTATGCTTGGGGAACAAACCTGGGGGGATCCAGTTTTGCCTTTGCCCTCCTCCATTAGAATGGCTATTGGGGAATTGGCTGAACTGCCACCGGTTTTGTTACAGGGGAAGGCTATTTATGGGTTATAGCCAGTGTATGGAAGAGCTTGTTAGCAGGACAGATTTTATTGGTTATTCTGATAGGGTTTATCACTGTAAACTCAGGATTGGCATTGGAGATGTTATTATAATTTATTAAAAACTAGTATTGATAGATTGAGGTCTGGGATCAGCATAGGGACTGAATAGAATGACATAAGAAGTGAATGGTGAAACCCTTTTAAGGATGGTTTGAACGTCAGCAGCCAAATTCTGAGGCAAATTTCATCAAACTGTGACTGAGCACTGAGGCCATCCTTAGAAGTGCAGGGTGTAGTGTCTGGCAGGAATGTCAAAGGACAGCTTGCTATGGTCACCACAGCTTTGGCTATACTGATTGTGGGAGGAGCAGAAGGTTTAATACAACAGTCACATGGTTTTATTCTCTATGGTACAGTCTAATGGAACAGGAAAGAAGTTACTTTGCCAATTAGTGTAAGTAACAGAAAGATAGTGAAATTATGCTTTATTTAAAAATTTAAATTTAAAATTATTTAAAACTTTTAATAAAAAATTTCCATCAGTCTAACATGATCAACTTTCTCTAAATTGGCCTGCTGCCCTTGAAATCTCTTGTTCCAGGATTATGATTCTCTCAAGCTGTGTAGTTTTTCTTATTTTTAATATATAGTCGTTAAATTTTAAACCATCCAACCTAGCTTTAATAGAACAAAGAGATAAACTTTCAGCTGTTTTTCGGTTATTATTTCTATAGGCTATGTGGTTTTCAAACAAAAGTGATCTTGATTGGTGAAGCCGTTTTGTTTTGTATGTAGACTTTAAAGGTTGCTTTTCCTGTGAAACACATGAGGGCAGCAAAGGACTTCTGAAATGTAGTTGCAAACCATGCAGCTTTCATTTTTATTTTAATTAATAACCCCTAAACAAACAAGCAAAAATATCCCATCCTATTTTGGGAAAATATATGTATCTCAGATTGATTTGCATTAAAAATTCTGTATAGTATAGGAAGAGGAAAAGGTTTGTTTCCCCTAGATTTGCCCTCTGTGTACTACATAGATGTTTCAATTTATCTTGTCCAGGAGGAAAGATTGTAAGAAAAGTGTCTCCTCTGGTGACTGGCTCAGGGAGAAGAAAGTGTAACAAACAACCAAAGGTAGGCAGCTGACAGCCAAAGTGTTTCAGAAGGTTTTATTTTTCCACTGAGCTACCTACTGTACCATAAAAACATTTTTGTTCCTGTGCTCAGATGAACAAAATCCCACAAAGTACACAGAGAGCTCAGTCTACAGGCATGCAATCCGTACTCTGCTTTGAATTACTCCAGTGTAAATTTAGCCGTGCTTCATTAAGATAAATGAAAATACACTTGTAAAAATAATATCTGAATAAGGCCTATAAAAAGAATAGGGTATAGAGGTGCTTGGTGGGTATATTGTTTTGGGGTTTTGTTTGGTTGAGTTTTTTTAAAGGCTTTATTGATACAATTCTTATTGGTTCATTGATACAGGTAAGCTATATATTAGTTACACTAGTCATCACAGACAGATGATGAAAATATTTTTATACTTTTTTCCCTCCCCCAGAAACTCTGATTTAGAATTTTGTAATTGTAAATAATTTTTTAAAATGTATTTTAATGAAACTTTACATATCTCTATCCTATTCTGTCTATTCATTCGAAGTATTTGATGAGCTGAAACAATGCATACTAAGGGAAGAAGCAATGATTAATATATATTTAGGAACCTCTAAACTTAAACATCTTTAAATGAGGATAATCCTTTATTAAGAGAATTTACTTCCCATCAGCTGCAAAACACCCATTTCTAAAATTTCTTATTACACAGCAGTGTTATTAGTGGGTGGGCTTTTATAGTATTGCAGGTTCAGATTGCAAGATCATATTAATATTTACTAGTCAGGCTTTTTTTTCCCCTCCAGTGATTTTTTGCATAACTTTTTGAAATATTTGATTAAATCTAGCTGGACAGACTAGCTTCAGTGCCCCCTGGCCTCTGTCTTTATTATTAACATAGCAAACAGGGCAAAATACAAGAAATTACTTCTGAGTTGGAGACAGGTGTGCCAAGGATGGATGTTGCTCCTCCTAAGGGCATTAATGAGATGTATTAATGGACTTTCAGGTAGGAGTGTTGCCTTTATAGCACTTCGGGAGGTATTTACTTAGTGGCAGTTTGGAGTCCTGTTTTAGACATGTTTAAGATGTATAACAAATGGAAAATAAATCAATTTATTTTGTGTGATCTTCAGTCTCAGAGAGAAGTTGTTTAAATCCAGCAGAGGGAGCTAAGTGCCCTTTCTTAAAAAGGCTTGTGGGGAAAAATTTTGTCCAAGGATTTGCTTATTTTAAGACCTTGTAGAGGTGTTGTTTGCTGATACAGTTGCACTGGTAGAATTTATTAAATGTAAGCAAAGCAAGTGAGAATTACAATCTTGGGATGAAATTTATTCCTGTGAGGGTAAATGAGTGGTGTTGATGTAGCCAATGTTCAGAAATTGTCTTTTCTGAGCCCCAAGATAGACTTTTTAAAATTTGTGAGAAGCAAAGAATTTACACATGAGAGCACTTGGGTTTTCAGGAATAGCTAAACTGTGCCAGGGGCTGCCTCAGGTAGATCATGACAAACACCTCTGTTGACCATGAAGTCTCTACTGGTAGAATGATCTTCCTTTGCAAATAATGAGATAACTATAGGATCTGCTTCTCAAACCTGACTTGTCTATCTCAGCTGAATATCCTAAACACCAGTAAGTCTCTTGTTCCTTTAAAAAGGTTTTTCTTCAATCTTGTCAGTAAGGGATGAATTATAAATGAAGAAGGCTGGCAGTGGAGCTACTAATTCAAAATCATACAATGAATCAAAAAATAAAAATGCAGAAAGGAACAACACCTCTTCTGAGTGAGAATGAAGTAAGAAGCCTTGTTCAGTTTTAGGGATCTGAGAATTGGCTTTTCTCTGAGAAATCTGATTTGCTGATACTCTGATTTTCTGTCTTCACTGCCAGTCCCACTTGCTAGTGTCTACAAATTCACATTAAATATTCTCAGCTGTGAAAATTTCTCATATCCAGGTCATTCAAGTCTTATTTTCTTGTTGGCTTTTTGCTTGTTTGTTTTGGTCTTTTTAGTATTTAGTTAAGTGGTCAGCTTTTCAGGAAGAATTTCAGGCAATATTTAGTATAGCTTGGTTTAAGTATCGATAAACATTTTTCACTCTAATTGTTCTGATTTCTTCCATCAAACTGTTTGACCACGGGATGTGGACAAAGCTTATATGTAGAAGTAATCCTGTTTTACAGAGTCCACTTTGCAGATTTCTGTAAGTGCTCACGATAATTTGTTTGTATATCCTTCATGAGTTCATCATCAGTGACTTTGTTGGTAGAGGAATCCAGCAAGAAGTTAAGAAGCCCTTCAAAATTCACCTGAAAGGAGAAACAAAGAAAAAAGCACCATTTCGGGATCAAGGTATTTGTATCGTACATATATTTTTGTGCTCTTTTTTGGAGGATTTGCTTGCTGGCTTTCTCCATGGGTGATTATAATTCAAAACTGCTGTTGAATCATCCCAACCTTATATTCTTTCTGTTTCATATGCAATACCTTCCACTTTTGTTTTACTGTGGAACTTAAAAGAATGGATTTTACAGTCACATTGATGTGAATTAGTTGTGACTTACTGCTATGATTATAATACTATTGAAGTTATACTTTGTCCCTGTAGTGCTTTTTATCCATAGAATTCCAATGCCCTTTTTGGAAAGGTCAGCAATGTAAAACCAATGTCAAATTTGTACATCAGGCATGAGGTCTGTGTCCATGACTAACGTGCACAGAAATATAGGGTCTGCTTTACATCAGTGGTTGAGTTTTTATTGTGTAAAGTTTTGCTGGAAGGTTGTTTTGTTGCTTTAGACTTTGGTCTAGAATGCTTTCATGCAAGAGGAGTGACAGTCCTACCTTCCCTGCTGCTGCTTGTGTGAAATGCCCCTCCACATTGCCACTGTTTCCAT